CTTTCTTTAGCTACTAAATACATCGTGCAATATCAGGTTAGAGTTCAATGTTAGCTGCCAGGCAACCACTGTTCGTCTTTAGAGAAGATTTTGCTACTCTATTCTGAGATCCTGTTAACATTTTAACTCTGAACAGACAATCTGAAGTCTTTAAGAAGGAAAGGACTTCAGATATTAACACCACATAGTAATCTTGAATTTCAGAAATTCCTCTTTATTTAGTCATCTTTGTTTTTGGGAAATATGTTTTTTTCAGTAGCACTGCATTTTTAAGAAAGACATAGATAGTTAGGGAGTGCTAGTATTTGGATATTGGATACCAGTTTGCTTCTATAATTAGTACCCAGACTGATAGGTCAGAAGCTCAAAAACAAACGCAGATGCAAGATCAAGAAAAGCAAGAAGAACCAGAAACTTGAAAAGCAAACAGAAGTCATGATCATGAATAGTGAAAGCACCAACAGAGGGTTGTTTTGAAAACTGGGAACCAAAAAAATCAGAATAGGATTTGGGCCACGCCATTGCACAATTCCAAGGGGTACCTTTTATATCACTGTCTATTTGAATGATGGCTGCACACAGACAGTATTTCAAAGGTCCTAGGCATCAGAGTAAGATCAGAGGCCTAGCTAGTGAAGAATAAAGATGTAAGAGGAAGGGCAAAACAGGAAGACATAAGATGTGAGGCTATGGCACTAACAGGACTTTAAAAATTAGTTTGTCTTATTAGTCGGGAGGAGTTGCTCTACAGCTCTGCCAAGGTAGGAAATAGATTCTCCAAGTATGATTGGTTTGTGATACAAACCGAAGTGAGTTACATCCCCTGCTGCAGTGGGAACAGTTGGGTGAGGAAGATGACAAATTCCAATAGGAAGAGCTATTTATAATTAGAGTTTCATTCCAAGTTTCACACTTGATCCAGACTGTTTCCAAACACACATTCTGAACCAGCCTGAGGCACCATTGAAAAAGCTTCTGTGGCCAAGAAACGTTTGAGAAATGAGTATAAAGTATTCTCTGAATGGGAATTCATAATTTTCAAAAATTTATAATTATTCATGCTTAAAAGGCTAATCCAGATTATTTGAATATGAGATACCTTTTAAAAATAATATTAATATTCTGTGGGATACCCTTTAGGAATACGCAATGATTGTTATGTGGGACAACTACCGGATTCTCCCTTACAGGACTGATAGTACACTTAGGTTATACTGAACCACTAACCAGAAAAATTGAGGGGAAAGGAGATCGGGGGAAGTATACCAATTAGGAAATGGTTTGAGCAGCTGGGGCTCAACTATAATGACTTAAAACCATTAGGATTCCTCTCTGCTTCCCCTGAGAGTGCACACACACACACACACACGCACTCTGGAGATATGTAGCTCAGGAATGCTCTCTGGTCCTACAAGATATGAGGACCGTGCGCTGTGTCTTTCTGCTTCACACTTCATAACTGTCCTCTCCTGGAGAACTCTGTCAATTGGAGTGGAGCTTGGGGTGCCCAGATTAAACATTATTTCTGGATGTGCCTGTGAGGGTGTTTGGGGTGAGATTACTGTTTTCAGGCAGCAGACTCAACCAAGCAGACTGCCCTTACCAAAGAGGGCAGGCATCGTCCACGCCACTGAGGGCCTGGATTGAACTGGGATTTATACTCTCAGTTTCCCTGGTTCTCAGACCTTTGGACCCAGAATGCGTCTACCCCTGGCTTTCCTGGGTCTCCAGCGTGCAAACAGCAGATCATGGAACATCTCAACTTCTTTAATCACATAAGCCAATTCCTCACAACAAATACATAGTAAGTTCCTATTGGTTCTTTTTCTCTGAAGAATCCTAATAAACATCACATTTTCACAATGGTTTTCAGGAAGAAGGAGCAAGATGAGGCATAAAAGCCTCTCCTCCAAGCTGAGTTTACCAAAAATGTAAATAGTGTACAGTGAAATATTCACATCTGGGGCCAGCACTGTGGCACAGCAGGTTAAGCCACTGTCTGCATTGCCAGCATCCCATATGGGTGCTGGTTCAAGTCCTGGCTGCTCCACTTCCAAACCTGCTCTGTGCTAATGCATCTGGGAAAGCAGTGGAACATGGTCCAAGTGCTGGACTCCTATACCTATATGGGAAACCCTGATGAAGCTCCTGGTTCCTGGCTTTGGCCTGGCCCAGCCCTGGCCATTACAGCTCTTTGTGAAGATGTGTGTGAAGTTCTGCTCACGGAGAGGGCCTGGGAACAGCAGCATTCCAATTATATGACCACATATACTACCCAGTTCTTTATTTCTAAATTACATTTTCTATTAAAAGGAAACCAGGACTTCTTGGAGAAATGACTGACTCAAGGGTCTATCAGAGAAAATACAATATGAGCCTGGAACAAGATGTTGACTCATTTATTTACTTATTTATTTTATAAACAACTATCTTACATTTTATTTTACAAAAATAAAAACCCATGATTCCATATTGAAGTAAATAATGAAGTAAATGTTCTATGAGAAATAGGATATTTAAATAGTCTGGAATCTCCCCCATAGAAGTTATTAATTACAGTAGGGAAAAATTAACTTTACAGTGGAGAAAACCAGCAGGTGCCACCTTCAAGTGGTGAAACCTTACCCAGACAGGGTAATGTGGGCAGATCATGTCCCCAGAATGTCCACATCCTTATTCCCAGAATCCGCAACTTTGCTCCTTCCATGGCCAAAGGAACTTTGCGGACGGGATTGAGTCAAGGGTTTTGAGCTGGGGAGATGATCCTGGCCTCTCCACTGGGCTCAATGTCATCACCAAGGACAGCAGAAGCAGAAGAAGCAGTCGGAGAAGGAGATGGAATGAAAGCAGATCTTGGAGTGAGGTGACTGTTGGTTTTGAAGGGGGAGGGAGAAACTAGTCAAGAAATGACAGCGGCCAACAGAAGCTAAGAAAGGGAGGGAAAAGATTCTGCCCAGGGCTGCTGGAAGAAACGCACATGTACTAATACCTTGATTTTAGCCCCATGAAGTCAGTTCAGGTTTCTGATCTCCACAAATGTAAGATAATGAGTTTAAGGTGTCCTAATCCATTAAATTTGTGCTAATTGGTTACAGCAGCAAGAAGAAATGATTACAGAGGGATGAATAAAAATCTTGGCCCATCCAATAGGATCCAGTGAGGGGAATTTGGCATTACTTCTACAATATTTCTGACAAAGTCCACGACTAAATTTAGTCGTGAGGAGACATTAGACAAATCCAAAGGGAGTGATATTTTGCCAAATAACTGGTCTGTAATTTTTCTGTGAAGGCTATGAAAGTCTAGAAAAACAGGGTTGACACTGTGGGGTAGCAGGTGCATCTGCCACCTGCATTGCTGGCATCTCCTATGGGCACCAGTGTAAATACCGGCTGCTGCACTTTTTTTTTTAAGATTTATTTATAGAATCACTATATTCCTAAAGTTGTACTTATGAAATTTGTACTCATTAAATAAAAGGTTTCTTTGGGAAAAAAATTTATTTATTTATTTGAAAGACAGAGTTACAGAAAGGCAGAGGCAGAGAAAGAGAAAGGTCTTCCACCCGCTGGTTCACTCCCCAAATGGCTGCAACAGCTGGAACTGGGCTGATCCAAAGCCAGGAGCCAGGAGCTTCTTCGTGGGCTCCCACATGGGTGCAGGGGCCCACGAAATTTGGCCATCTGCTACTGCTTTCCCAGGCCATAACACAGAGCTGGATTGGAAGTGGAGCAGCTGGGTCTTGAACAGGCGCCCATAAGAGATGCTGGCACTGCAGGTGGTGACTTTACCAACTAAGCCACAGCACCAGCACCTATGCTATACTTCTGATCTTGCTCCCTGTTAATATGCCTGGGAAAGCAGAAGACAGCCCAAGTACTTGGGCCCCTGTATCTATGTGGGAGACCCAGAAGAAATTCCTGGCTCCTGGCTTCAGCCTAGATCAGTCCTGAAAGTCCTGAGAGTGAAGCAGTGGTTGGAAAATTCCTCTGTTGCTATCTCTCTGTAACTCTGCCTTTCAAATAAATAAATCTTTAAAAAATAAAAGTCAAGAAAAGATGAAGGAACTCTTCCATATTGAAATAAAGACACACACATCTCAATGCAACACATGATTCTGGACTGGATTCTTTCTCTACAAGGGACATATTGGGTCAACTAGTGAAATTTGAATATCTGAGGATTAGAAGGTAGTAATATATTGATCAGAGTCATGTTGGAAAATGTCACCGTAGGAAATACACATTGAAGAATTCCTGGGTGATGGTATATCATGTTTGCAACTTATTCTCAAATGGCTTGAGGGAGAAAATTGATTATTCTGTTCTTGCAATTCTTCTTCTGCAAGTCTGAAGTTCATTCTATTTTATATAATAAAAAATAAAGCAAAATTAGGGGCGGCATAAACTTATGTGCAAGGACACTTCAAAAAGTTAATGGAAAATTAAAAGATCAGTTTATTTTGGTGGAAAAAAAGTTTAAATCCATGTATATTTTTAAAAGATTTATTTACTTGAAAGTCAGAGTTACACAGAGAGAGAAGGAGAGGCAGAGAGAAAGCGAGGTCTTCCATCCAATGGCTCACTCTCCAAGTGGCCGAAACAGCCAGACCTGCACTGATCCGAAGCCAGGAGCCAGGAGCTTCTTGTGCGACTCCCACGTGAGAGCAGGGGCCCAAGCATTTGGGCCATCTTCTACTGCTTTCCCAGGCCATAGCAGAGAGCTGGATTGGAAGTGGAGCAGCCAGGACTTGAACCAGCACCCATATGGGCTGAGGGCACTGCAGGTTGTGGCTTAACCTGCTACACCACAGCGCCAGCCCCACCATGTATAATTTTATCATTAAAAAGTTTATGGAAAATGTGTAGTAATGAAAAAGCAATGTATGAATTTCAAATTTTTTGCACAAAAATAATCTTAATTCCATTTTCCACAAACTTTTATGTAGAGATTAAATTCTTCAGAACCCTATAAATAATAAAATTGACTTTCAGTGTGAATTAATTTGTCTAAGAGTAGGTAACTTGTAAGTGACAGAATTAACATTAAATAATGGACACAAATTTTTGGACTGGATTTTTTCCCTGTAGGAGGCTATTACATCATTTTAGGTCATTTTAAATTGTTCGCTTCTTCATTACAAAATTTTCAAGTATTTCTGTCTTCAAAGTTGAGTTTAAATCCAGTTTCTGATTCTATTTTCATTGTGTTGTTCAAAGCAGGCACATGGAGATCTTTGATCTCTTGAGGCTTTGGTCATCTAAATCCAGTCCTCCAGCAGTGGTGGGGAGAGGTTGGGGGCATGAGAAGGATGGGAAGCAGAGGAAGATTCCCTGTTTCTCCACTTTACCTCAGTCTCTGCTATTCACACCGCTCTTCCTACCTTCCGCTTGCCATCATTCTTCCCATGTGAAGACCCCAAGTGTGGTACCAAAATGCTTGAAAGGTAGAGAATACTGTAAAAAAAAAATACAGACTATTACATTCCTTTCTTCTAAACCTAAGAAAGTACAATGAAAGGACCCATTTATCATTCTTTACTTGTTTCCAACAGTCTTTTTAAAAGTAATTTGCAGGGCCAGCATTGCAGTGTAGGGGGCTAAGCCTCCACCTGCAGCATCGGCATCCCACATGGGCGCCAGTTTGTGTCCTGGCTGCCCCTCTCCCAATCTGCTATTGCCTGGGAAAGCAGTGGATGATGGCCCAGGTGCTTGGGCCCCTGCACCCTCGTGGGAGACCTGGAAGAAGCTCCTGGCTTCAGATCGGCCCAGCTTCAGCCATTGCAGCCATTTGGGGAGTGAACCAGCAGATGGAAGACCTTTCTCTCTGTCTCTCCCTCTCTGTAACTCTACCTCTCAAATAAGTAATAACTAAAATCTTTTAAAAAATAATTTGCATGATGTCTTTTTACCCTTAAATATTCAAAGTACCGGTAATTCTACAGTATTCTCTGCTTGCACTCTGCAAAACTCAATTCTAATTTAATAGCCTTTTTTTTTTGTCAACAGCTCATCTAAGTACTGACAGCTCAAACAAGCAGCATATGCTCTACATTCATTCCTGTGTCAAATAATTATTTGAGCAAACAATTACTAGTTACTAATTTGCCATTTGTCAGAAGATATTTTTATTCATTTATTTAACTACCAAACTCCTGGTCTGGGGCTTATACTGAGATGTTATAACTTCTCCTAAGTGCCCTTTGGCTCATGTAACTAAAACTCCCGCCTCCCCACCTTCCACAGGCCTCAACCTCTGGCAAACGCTTTGATAGCTCCTTCCATTGCATTCTATTGCCTCTCTGTTCAACTGTGAAACTCTTTTCACTCAAACTTTTCTAAAAAGTGTTTTTCGGTCATAACAGGGTCAAAATCTGACTTTCATCTGATGGTATCTTTAGCCTTGAAACCTGCTATAATGGAATAATTCTTATTTTCTCCAATTCATATATAGAGGGTTAGGCCTTACCCTATTCCCACTGGCCCTTCAGCTGCCCTTATGCAACTTCCCCTTTGTGCCTCCTATGCCTTATGCCACTTACTCCTCCTACTTGTAAAGCCTGGCTTTCTAAGCTACATGATCCAGTTTTGGATCTCCATGATCTAGGCTATACCTAGGCCAATGATTATAAAACAGTGTCATGATAACTCTGGGCTTGCCCAAATTACCTTCATTTGAACCACTATTACCTTGATGACTGGATTCCATTTTCCCTTTGTAAAATGTTCCCCAGTTAATTACAGAAGTATATGCCTACCATTCACTGTCTGCTATAATTACTGTACCACATCTTCTATATCCTTCTAGTTGTCCTTGTCTGGCTCTCTTCAGATGATATACAGAGTCCTTGAAGCTACATAAAGTTACAGTTCCTACCTAAGAAGTTTCTAAGGGGAAAATTCTAAGTCTCAACAGTCAAGGAAGGGCGGCAGTAGCACTTCATTACACTTGTAACCTACAACTTCCAACACTGCCCTACCTCCAGTGATTATTTTAGCTACATTTAGACTCTTCCCTCTCCTTGACAGTATTAACCTTTGACTTTGACATTTGTCCCTATTCATTCAATATTATGGTCTTATTTCTTGACCCCAAACTCTACCCCACCTCTATTCACCAAGACAACTATATCATAAAAGATGCCTTTTCCATTGCTAAAATTTCAGATTCTGAGTTTCATCTCACTGCTGCTTGTCTTCCACTCTCCCTACTCCATCATTATTCTCTACTCCCCAAGAGATTTTATATTCAGCTAGAAATATAATTACAGATGAAGAGGTCTCGAGATCTCTTCAAGATCAATTTATTTCTCCCTTGTATGAATCTTTGTAGCAGACCGAGACCTTAAAGGACAGAAACTACACATATTTAAAAATTATTTATTTACTGTTTGTTTGTTTGTTTATTTGAAAAGCCAAGGGACAGAAATGCAGAGACAAAGAGATTGAAACAAAGGATCTTTCATTCACTAGTTCACTCCCAAATGCCTGCAACAGCCAAGACTAGAAGAGGCCAAAGCCAAAATCCAGGAACTCAATCTGAGTCTCCCACATGGAAGGCAAGGACCCAAATACTTGAGTCATCACTTGCTGCCTCCAGGATATAGACTTTGGTTATTAATACTATACCCATATCGCCAGCGTCGCGGCTCACTAGGCTAATCCTCCACCTTGCCGCGCCGGCGCACCGGGTTCTAGTCCCGGTCGGGGAGCCAGATTCTGTCCCGGTTGCCCCTCTTCCAGGCCAGCTCTCTGCTGTGGCCAGGGAGTGCAGTGGAGGATGGCCCAAGTGCTTGGGCCCTGCACCCCATGGGAGACCAGGATAAGTACCTGGCTCCTGCCATCGGATCAACGCGGTGCGCCGGCCACAGCGCGCTGGCCACGGCGGCCATTGGAGGGTGAACCAACGGCAAAGGAAGACCTTTCTCTCTGTCTCTCTCTCTCTCACTGTCCACTCTGCCTGTCAAAAAAAAAAAAAAATACTATACCCATACGGACTCATTAAGTGTAACAAATATAACATAGTAATGTAAGATGTTAGTAATAAGGGATACTGAGTGTGAGGCATATAAAAACTGTGTGTTATTTTCTTCATTTTTCTGTAAATCGAAAACTGCCCTAAGGAATAAAGCATTTATTTATTTTTTAAAAAAGTTTATTTGGGTAACATCTAGGGCTGGTCTCTATTTTTTTTTTTAAGATTTATTTATTTACTTGAGAGGCAGAGTTACATAGAAAGGGAGAGACTAGAGAGAGAGGTCTTCCGCCCACTGGTTCACACCCCAGATGGCCACAAAAAACCTAGTCTCTAAGCCTGTGTACTTCTTTCTTCATCATATACCAATTACAAGCCCACATTTCTTAGCTTAGTATCCAAAGGGCTTGAGCATTGCAGTACAATGTCTTTGCCATTCTTGGAACGTTGCTACCTTATGAACAAGCCCATATCCTGCCAACTGCTGCAGCTGGAGTCAGCTGGAAGATCAGTAGAAAAAAAAAAGTGGAAAGATCAGTAGGAAAAAAAAAAAAAGAACTGTACAACTGCCTGCACCCAAGTTGCTAACCCATTAAGTAGTAAACTAAAAATAGTTTTAAGACACATCTCGTTATACAGCAAAGCAGTAAAGGCTAACTGATACATCTGTCCAATTACCCTACCTCACCCAAGTCATATTTACAACTGTTTTCTGGAATTCCCCTAGGCTCCACCCAAAATTTCACTCAAGAAATTTCCACCTGAAGTGACTTTACTCCCAATCTCTACTTAAGGAAATGTCATTCATGTTCTTCTTCCACATAAAGTTTCAAAGATAAATATAAAGAATGGGAGAAACTATAGCCCATATTATTTCCTCTTAGAGAGAGCACCATATACTTAAGAAATTCTGGGGGCTGACACTGTGGCATAGTAGGCTATACCTCTGCCTGTGGTACCAGCATCCCAAATGGGTGCCAGTTCATGTCCCCGCTGCTCCTCTTCTGACCCAGCTCCCTGCTATGGCTTGGGAAAGCAGCAAAAGATGGCCCAAGTGCTTGGGCTCCTGCACCCATGTGGGAGACCTGGAAGAAGCTCCTGTCTCCTGGCTTTGGATAGCCCCAGCTCCGGTCATTGCAGCCATTTGGGGAGTGAACCAGCGGATAGAAGACCTCTCTCTGTCTCTCCCTCTCTCTGTAACTCTGCCTCTTAAATAAATAAATAAAATCTTTAAAAAAAAAAAAAAAAAGAATGAGGAAGAGGAGAAGGATAAGGGGGAGGGGGAGGGGGAGGGGGAGGGGGAGGGGGAGGGGGAGGAGGAGGAGGAGGAGGAGGAGGAGGAGGAGGAGGAGGAGAAGGAGAAGGAGAAGGAGAAGGAGAAGGAGAAGGAGAAGGAGAAGGAGAAGGAGAAGGAGAAGGAGAAGGAGAAGGAGAAGGAGAAGGAGAAGGAGAAGGAGAAGGAGAAGGAGAAGGAGAAGGAGAAGGAGAAGGAGAAGGAGAAGGAGAAGAAATAATCCTGGGAAGAGTGTTGTGCCACAGAAGGTTAAGTTGTTGTTTGGGATGCCCACATTCCATGGAGTGCCTGATTCAAGTCCCAGTTACTCTGCTTCCAACCAAGCCTCCTGCTAATATGCCTGGGAGACAGAAGATAATGGTATAAGTACCCGAGTCCCTGACACCTAAGCAGGAGCCCTGAATGGGATTCCTGGCTCCTGGCTTTGACCTGTATGAGCCCTAGCTGTTGCGGGCATTTGGGGAATGAACCAGTGAACAGAAAAAATCTCTCTCTCTCTCTCTCTCTCTCTCTCTCTACTTTCAAGTAAAGAAACAAATATTTTTGAAAGAAAAATTCTTAAGTTTGAAGGGCAAGAACCTGAAAGGCATGTATTAGTTATGACAGCAGCTCAACTGCAGAAACAGAAACTCAAAACGTAAATGGATTCAACAAGACAGACGTTTACCTCACTGTCATTTAAGAGTCAGAGCATAATTAGTAAAGGACAGGCATGAGGACTCCCTAGTGTCAGTCCCTCTTGCTGTTCCTGTCCCCCTCATCTGCAGAGCTAACAAGGTATCACTCCCACCACAGTCACATTACAGCCAGAAGGAAGAGGGAAAGTTCACATGCAGGGCAGGCTCATACCTTCAGGGAAAAAATAAATAAATAAACAAACAGATGCTGTACATTTCAGTGATGCTCACGTCACACTGGCCAGAGCACAGTTAAACAATCATACAGACTGTGCAGACAGCTAGGAAATGGAATTGTTGCCTTAGTGCTCAAATATTCTACTATTACTATAGAAGAAGGGATAAAAATCAATATAGTCACTATCACAAGTCAGCTGCAGTATATCAACCTGTTAAAATGCTTTCTTTCAGGTAGGAGATGGATTGGCTTTGTTCGTGAGAGGCAGGACGAAGAGCAGGAAAGGAGGAAACCAGGGCAATAGTGGGAAACTATGAAACCTCTAAGTGCCCT